AGCATGGCCTGGAACTTTCCAGAATAGTAAATATTGATAGAAAATAGGACTGGAGCAAGCATCCGTCACAATATAACAAAACAGACAGAAAAGAGTCTATCCTGACCACTTAAGAAGCTGCATTGCTTTAGTGGCATTCTGTCCGAATAAATCCTCTCCTTCGGGGTCTGGCGGCTGCCGTGGACGAGCTGAACTGAAATCGATGTGGGACCACTTTTCTGGCAATAAGCCCCTGCAGACTCCCATCGCAAAGCGGCGTGAACGGGTGGACTGGGTAGGTAACACGCGCAATGAAATGTCCATACGGCTTGCAATTCGCGTAACGAGTGTTGATGAAACTTTGGTGTCGACGAAACGTGCGAAAGACCAGCGGAATCAATACCAACTGCAACACCTGTACTCCGTGAAAGTGCACGTTTACGCCGGAACAATTTGGGAAGCAGCACAGCATCACGTAAAGCATGGCATAGGAACTACCAGCTTGAAGGCAGCTCTTCGGTAAGTCGCACACCTGTGCTTCGTGAAAGTGCACGTTTACGCCGGAACAATTTGGGAAGCAGCACAGCATCACGTAAAGCATGGCATAGGAACTACCAGCTTGAAGGCAGCTCTTCGGTACTTCGCACACCTGTTCTCCGTGAAAGTGCACGTCTACGCCGGAACAGTTTGGGAAGCAGCACAGTATCATTTAGCACGGCACGGGAACTACAAGCGGCAAGGCAGCTCTCCGGTGCACCGCACAACCAAAGTGAGCCTTCGGTCATTTGAACGAAGCGGCACCACGATTGCACACTGCAAAGCACGACTCACGCAATTTCCGTCGCTAAACTGTGTATCCAACACAGCTTTTGTCCTTGAAATTACACCGCAACAAAGGCGTTTCTTGGCCAGTGGCGCTGCGTGTGAGTATCCCTGAGTCCCAAGTGTGCCAGTAAGCTCGTGTAAAGTCAAAAATATTTCAATTGAATATCGTTGCACAGCTCCTTTAAGAAGATTATTGCGAGAAGTGTGCGAATCATGCGACATGAAATGGCGGGAGGATAGCAGATGCATAATGCACCGTCGGTTCACCGGTTCTATAAAGAATTTGAATTTCTACGCCAGCAACCTAATCGGGGTCTATTAATAGTCGTCTTGTTTTTCAATAAACATGTAGTGCAAAGTAGCCTTTCCGCGTTGTGTCCCTTTCCATTTCTCCCTGTTTTACGGCGCGTATACACGAACTCAACTCTCCTACGTCACGCCGCGGTGGTGGCGCGCCGGAGGCACTTCCGGTCTGGGGCGGTGAGCAGAAGTCGCCGTGCCAGACATGCGTCCCTGTGTTCTTCTGGAAGAAACGAGACAAAAACCCTCCCTTCTCGTCAAAATGCTGCGACGGGGGTTGTACCAAGAGAGTCTGGAAAGGTTTGAAGATCAGTTTTCATGTGTTTTTGCCCCCTCCGTTCGTCCGAGAACGTGAATAGTAGCCGTGAAAAGGGCAAACCAGACGCTGTCAAACCACGATTGCGTGTGCGGGCAACACTTTGTGGTCGCAAGATGTATTTGCTTTGTTCCAACATGAACGAGAGAAAACCGCCAAGTTTTCCGGACCACCCACGGGTTCAGTGCGTCTTCAAATTCACACGGCCGCCTGATCGTTCGAACTTTCGTCTGCTCTTTCATACTTGTCTGCTTCTTGTCGTCTGCTCGTTCAAACAAAAGCGGCCTGTAGACCAAACTTTGACCCGGTAATTGCAATGAGAAGTAATTGCACGCCTCAAAATACTTAAGTAGGCTCGGTGTAAACAGTAGATACAAGATGTTGATCATTGGTACCGGTGGCCATCACCTACTTGTTACGCTTGGTCTGTTCCCGCTTCCAATTTTCAATATCGACGTCGATCATCGCCGCTACCCTCTACACTTTTGCAGCACGAGCGACGTCGCGACCGAAAATAGCTAGAAGAATCTCGTCATGGTTTTGGCGTCCATTCTGCGGCGTTCATGCGAATAAATCGCCGCACGTCGAATTATTTACGCAAAGTTTAGCGGCGTAACGAGCCTTGATAATTTCGCTCAGGCGATTAAAGTGATGAGACATTGCGATGACGACGTAGAATCGACAATTCCAACGCGGAAAAGAGTATGCAGATTCACACATACGTCGACAACGTGACATTCGAACGGTTTGTTGATGCTGGGCGCGGTGCTTCTTACCCGTAGTTCATTCCGCATGCGTTCGAATTGTCGTCTGCTCTTTCAAACTTGGCTGCTTTTTGTCGTCAGCTCGTTCAAACGACAGCGGCCCGCAAACCAAACGTTGACCCGGTAATTGCGGTAAGAAGAAAGTGCAGGCCTAAAACACTTTTGAAGGTTTGTTGGGGTAAGTAGGCTAAGTGTTAACAGATACAAGATGATGTTGATCATTGTTACCAGTGGCCCTCACCGACTTGTAATGCCCGATTCTACTTGCGGTTTTCAATATCGACGTTTACCACCTCAGCTACGGTCCACGCTTTTACATCCCGAGCGACGTCGCGACTGAAAATAGCGAGCAGAATTTCATCGTGGGAGTCAGGCTTTAGCGCCCATTCTGCGGCGTCCACCTGAAATGAATCGCCGCACGTCACATTATTCACGCAAAGTTTGGCCTCGTTAGTTTTGCTGAAGCCGCTCAAGTAGTTAGACATTGTTAGGAGGACGTAGAATCAACAATTCCAACGCGAAAAAGAGCACGGGGACTCCCGCCGACTCCGACAACATCGCAATTTAATGGTTTGTTTATGGGCGACGGCGGGCTTCTTGCCCACCATCCACCGCGCATGCGCGGCGCCGCCGGTGGCGTCCGTTAGGGGCGCTCCGGTTTGTTTGTAAATATGAGTTGGTGTATAGTTTAAATAAATATAAGTAGGGCACGCTTTTCCCAGAAGGCTTTTCACTCCTTTCCCTTCAGCAGATCAAACGGTGGAGAGAAGAAAACCACCAATCATGGTGGGTACAGCTTCGTGAGAGGTCTTGCCCTACATTTTCTTAACCTGTAACATACTATAGGCAGGGCAGTCTAAAAATAAAACGGCAATGAAGAAAGGGGACATGCTTGTCTGAATGTCATTATTGTCTTTTGTGATTGTATTTTTATTATTATTTAACACCCGTGTTATTTTTTTTTTATTTTATTACAAATATCTGTTTGTTTCAAGGTGTATATTTGTCAACCATTTTAGCTTCTCTTTTTATGTATCTGCTCTTCAATAAGCTTTAGCTTTGGTTCAATAAATCAATTACCTCCCCCACTCTAGCCCAGTCGTGGCAGTGTCGTGGACGGACTAGGGTGGATAGTGTGTCAAACTGCACAGGACAAACTTTGTAAAACAAAGCTTCAACGTTCATTTTATTGCCTGTTCATGCCGTGAATTCTGTGTTCAAGGCATAACAAAAAAGCCGTAAAAATATATGATGATCGGTTCGCTCATGCACGAAATGTACGCAAGCGTCGTCATGCAGGCACCGTGACCGAAAACGATGGTCAAAATTAGTTCTTTCTTTTTTTCCCGCTATTGCTCGTGTTACAAACGCGGCACACACGCAGCGATAGCACACTGGAGAGCCCTATTTTTGGTGGAGGGCTTGCTCGCCGTTATTGATAGCCAGCGACAAAGTGACCCGGGATAGCTGTTCTTTACGTTGTTACAAGACCGTAAAAGTCCTCGACGCACAGAGAAGATGGTTTATTGAGAAGGACAAGGCAGTGTTTGCTAGTAACAATACCGCAAAAAAGACAAAGTCAAGAGAGTAGACTGGACAGGCGCACTTTGCTACTTCGTGATCTGAAAGGGAACAAGAAGGAACAAACAGAGTCAGGATGATGAAGACGAACAGCTAAGTCAACGCAGGCGAAGAAACGATACTACCTCTGCAAGACAAAGCTGAACTAAGCTTCAGATTAAGGTAGTTCATAATTCCGATGGTATTCAAAAGTGCAAAGATTATAGAGACAGAGACGGAAACGACACGGACAGGAGCTTGACTATACTTCGTTTCACCTTAGGTCTGTAGAGGCCGATAGTGGCTAATCTGCACGGTCACGCGATGCAGCCGGTGGCGCCCCCGGCCTCCCATATGTGTACAGTCGCCGGCCATATGAGCTCCCACGGCCGAACGCCGACCGGATCAGCGAAAGTCCCGCACGCGGCACGTCGAGCGTTGTCGCGTTTTGCGAGCAAGGCTATTGGGACCAAACCCTTCCGTTATCAAAGGGGTGGACGCATAGCTTTTATCAAGATTCCAGCCTTTGGAAGTGTGAATCACAAAAACAGGGCCGATTAGAATTGCCGTCTTGGGTGTTGGCCCCAAGTGTTCGGAGATTATGTTATAATTGGTGATAAACTGCAGTTTGCTTTAGTCGTAGATAAAGCAGCAATGTTCGATCGACGCTTACAAATTTAAAAACCCTATGTTTGATATGATATTAGGCATGACAACAATGATCCCTCGGCAAACGAGAAGTGGCCGACCGGGAAGCCATCTGCAAAATCATCGTGCAAAGAGTCACCCTTGGCGAAGCAACACGCTACTGAGCGCGTTAATTACTCAATATGCAGCTGCATATTGATTAATTAAACTGAATGTTGACATGATTGAAGCCACTACTTATTGTCAATGCTGAATAATTCAATTAAATGTTTACGTGGTTTCCGCCGCTACTTATGATCAGTACTGAATAATTAAATGAAATGTTGACATGGTTGCAGCCACTACTCATCATCGATGAGGTCCAGGTGACGTAAAATTTAATTAGATTATCTGCGAAGTTTGGCACTGTCAAGCAAAACTCAAGACCTGCTTGAATTTATAACCAGTGGTACAAGAAAGTTGGCAAGGAAGCAATGATAAAGGTTATTAAATAGCTAAACTAAACATTTAGTGTGGGTTCATTCGCATATTTCTAAAATATGTACTTTGTCACTACTTGTGCTTGGCAGCGAGGAGTTGAAGCAGGCACCCGTCAGCTACTTCGAGATCTACCCCTGCTCTTGAGGGGAACATTTCAGGGAGGCTGGCAGCATTCTCACGTGGCAAAATTCCTTCACGGGCACAGACTCTCCGTAAAGTGCCTTTCCAGGCGTCTTTCTCCACGAGTAATTCCTATCAGTGCAGCTCAGGTCGTCCAGAGCAAGGATTGCCGTCCTGTAAAATGAAAAACGAATACCTGTCTGGTGATCTTGAACTTGAATACCTGTCTGGTGATCGGCGAAATGCTTGTTCCATGTCTTGATTTGTCTTTTACGCCATATATTTGCTCACTTTCCACCATGCCAGAAACAATTGGGTCAGGTTGAGAAAGGACACCACGAAACAATCGCATCGACACATCGTGCGCGTAATCAATCTGGCTTGCACAACTCCGGGAGCCACCCAATCACGGAGTATCCTTTAAGCGTTCTTCAACCACAGCCACGAAAACAACTATCGTGCTTCAGTTCCAGGCACCCCCCTCCCCCCCCCCCCCCCCCCCAAGATGTACACAGGCTATTAATACTCGGCGTGCCTGCATTCATATATGAACCAGCGACGATCACAGTTTCAGCAAGACAATCTCGGACTCTAGCTACCGTAGCTCAGTACAAAGTCCCGTAGGTAGCCGCATGCCTGTTGCAGTGCAGGAGAATGGCGACTAAGTGCTTGCGGCACTCAGACGTTTCCGCCATGAACGAGCAGGCTGTTGTTTCCAAACGAAACTTGAAAGCGTCGTTTCCCGCAACGAGCTTGACAATAATCTCGTGCGGATCTCTCCTGACGCCGGTCGTCGCGAGACACAAGGCGAGTACCTCCACGCCTCCCTCGGTTGATGATGTTTTTGCACGGAGGAAGGGGTGCCTTGCCTGACGCAAAATATCTGTTTCTTCGTAGCAGCGGGAATAAAACGCTGTGTTTGTGAAAGCTAAAATACTCGTGATTAGCAGGGATCTCCCTCACTAAGTCAGCCATCTTGAAAAATGCAGTGGCGCAATCGATAGACAGTTGGAGTCGCGGATGGGGAATCGTATATTTTGTAAACGCGTGGCGCCCCAGCCCAGTGTGGGCCCGTGATTTAGTCGTTTTGCTATAAAAGAAAAAACTGTGTAACTATGTCCCAATATTTTTGGGGGGGGGGAGGGGGGAGTATTTTGACGTTTTAATTACCCCCATCGTACGAAATATTTTCTTTTTTCGGTGGTTTTGAAAATTTAGGTTATACCAACTAGCTCATATCATTCCCGTCTTAAAATGTTTTCAGCTCGGCTTACGGTTAGATTTTTGAGTTCTTGGTTTAAACGAGACATCGACAAGGCCTAATGCCCTAGGGGCACACAAAAGCGTGACTGGGAACATATACCTATGTAAGAAAGACAGGAGTCATGTAGTACATATTTCAAGTAGTGCAGTTGGCTCTCTGCGTACCTCTGTGTAAGTACTTTGTTTGAGCAGTCGGGTTCATGTAAACCCGACATCCGCTCGAATCTCGATCACTGACGCTTGCTCCAGATGGTTCAGTCGATGTTCGATCGGAGGGAGTGTAGGGACGCATGCCGCTTCAGTCGATTCTTTAACGACAGTAGCGTGTTTGCTTGCCAGACAAGTGTCGTGCTGTCGCGAATGTTTGCTAGCACTACATGCATCCACAATGAGGCCACGACACACTTAACTCGTATTTTGTCTCTTGTCGATTAAGCTGCAGGGACAACTTAAGGGCGTGGTTTATTTAAGCAGATCGCTCATCCATATGAAAGGGAACACCGAACTGCACTTTGCACATGAGCATTGGCGCACCCGTCTGCAACACAGAGTTTTGTATTGTGAAATGGGAAATCGAATATCGCTCTTGTTGTAAGTTAGTGGCAGTTACTTAGCGGTAGTTAGTGGCTCGCGGAGCCTTCAACAAAACGAATGACAACGCTGTGCGTTGGCGAAATGGTCCGTACGAGCGATCAATGCTATGACCCTCAACAACAACAATGTTTAAGTAGCGTTCCCGTTGTTCCTTCTTGCTCTATAGTTGGTGGCATGTTTAAAATTCTGTAGATGCTCCGCCACACAGGCGTAATGCATTCGATGTGTTTCCGCTGCCAAAAAGTAGTGCGTCGCCTGCCCCGCGAGGTGGCGATATCGGCAACATCGGTTTCAGGCCCGAGCCGAGGGAGCAAAGCTCGCTGTTTTTCGATCGAGACGACATTGTCGCGCGGCGGTACCTTTCAGTAACTTATATGTTATTCATACACTGCCCGCCATCCCTGCAGAAAACCCAACCGGTATGGTATAAACTTGAAACCAAAACAGTTGCAAGCATATTCATAGGCCTACACTCCGGTCACCCTTAAGCTGAGACAAGAAGCTCCAACTTCAGCGCGACCTCGCTGGCTTCCGGAGCGCTTTGGTTGCGCGTGCCTCCGCGCTCACACTTAAGTTACTAAGGGCAGAAAGCTCGCGCTCAACGTGGAGCTTCTAGTCTCAGCTTAAGAATGAAAGGAGTATTAAGACCTTTTTCATGGCAAACGTTACGGCAAACGCCACCAGGCCGTGCTCCAGCCTTTGACGTCCCAGAGAACTTCCGGTTTAGAAAAATAAAAAACAACGTCCACCCCAACACCGCTGTTTGAACTGTCGATGAATCGTTTAACAACATATTCTCCAGGTGAACGCTAAAAGAACGAAGAAGCGCGAGATCTGGTAAACGTTTTCGAATATTCTTATAAACCAACCGCTTGCGTTCCAAGCGACTTCCCTTCGATCCGACTTTACAAGCCTGTCGAGCTTGTAAAGGAGGCAATCCTTTACAAGCTCGACAGGCTTGTAAAGTCGGATCGAAGGGAAGTCGCTTGGAACGCAAGCGGCGGTTTATGTTTGTGAGCAAAAGGGTCTTATATACACTTTTGCAAGTCTGATCCCTGCTTAACCTCGAACCGCGCCCTCAGGTGAGGCGAACCTGCTCCTTGCGCAATTCAATGACGTGCCCCTAGCCCACCTCAACATGGCTAAAACGTTACGCGGCACCAGCATCGCTCTCAATGTCAGCGCACCGGAGCCTTTCTTGCAAACGTGTATAGACTGGCTTCTCTCGTCACACAGGAATACATGCGTGCGCTGTTCTCGACATACTTTGTTGACCTGCTGGGGCCCTAATCTACACGGCAGGAGCAAGCGGGATCAAGGGATCGGGACATCGTTGCCTGCTGGGATTCGCCAGTGGTGCTGAGCTGACCAATCGCAGAGGGTGGTAATGTTTCGGTTCCTTCGTCTCGCTTGGTCCCGCTGTGCAGGTTAGGGACCCAGATGATGAATTCTTAGAGGTTTGAAAGGAAAATTAAGCGGCCTCAGTCACGTCACTGTCGTTGTTTGGGCACCATAAACCCGTTTGTGAAGAAGGGGGCCTGTAGAGGTGGTCGCATTTTTGCGCGCCGCCGAGACGGCGTTTTGCTTAAATAATTTGATTATACTTTCGGGTAGGCGTTGAACATATAGTTTTTCTACCAACGACGAGGTTGCGTCTTTCCCACGATGGATCATTGCCGGCAAGTCTTTCCCCTAAACCAAGGATCCAGACACCCAAACCTATAAAGCCAGCATAACTCCTAATTCCACTTGTCAACGAGCAGGCCGTTTCATAAGCTAGATGAAGTACCGTGGACGCTGGTTTCGGGCGCAGGCCACACAGGAGGAGACCGCGGATCAAGTTCAAGTGGCTCTCGGGGCTGCCTGCACAGGGGCCCGAGCGCCAAAGAGGTCTACGAGCAAACGTAGACGCAGCATTGGGTGAATCCCCGGGGGGGTCACCGTATTCTTTGAATCCCATGTGATCTTCTGCTGCGCTTGTGCTTGCGAGACCCACGTGTGTTGCGCATGGCCAGTTCTCCGTTTGTTACTTGGTTTTAACGCACCTAATGCTCACACTCCAATGGGCGGTTTTCCCCATGAGGCACGTCCTGGCGATTTTCGCTGGAATCATCGCAGTCAGTTTGTTTTCCGAGTCCGACCATAAAGAAACCAGGACATGCATCTCAAAGTTTAAGCACTTACCGTGGGACCTGTCGTTGAGAGCTGACCTTTTTGCCTCCTGGCGAGGGTGGGTTTGCCCATGCTATTGGTTGAGAGCGCGTCGGGCCTTTACCAATCGAATTCTAGCCAGACCCTGATTGAATGGGACAGGTTTCGGCGCACTGCCATAACCCCCGACCGGACGGAAAATTGTCGACTTTGAGCGGGTTCATGCCTTCCAGCAGTGCTGTCCCGAGGTTCACCACTTTACCTCTGTCGTGCGCGACAGGCCCTTCTCGGCGACTCAGCCGCCGTCCTCACCGTGCGCGGGAGGACACTTGACGCCGAGGTCTCCGTCTGTGTAGCTGCTTAACTATGTAACCATGCGAGGCAGTATTTATAGTTTTTAATATTTGTACTGTCGTCATGTAATTGTTTTAAGCAGTGGTGAAGTTTATTTTCGCTTGTGGTTTTAATTACCACTTCTCCTCCCAGTCCGTCAACTCTCCGCCGTTGGCCACAACAGGGAGCCTTTAGCTCCAACCAGCTTCCGCAACCCAGCTTCCACGATCTCCCCCCCCCCCCCCCCCCCCCCCCCCCCCCGTTTTTGACGGTAACTCAAGGTACTCCATCGAGGTCCGGGACCAAAAATAAGCAAACATATCTACTGCCGGTGCGGAGGTCGGCAGTCACTGGGTTTATTCCCAGATGCGTTGTCGGCCGCCCTGCTGCTCTGACTTGGAATCCAAAAAAACTATTGTGCCGCCCTTGCCATCTGTCCTTTTTCCTCTTGCTCTAGTACCATCACGCTCATGTGCGTGATGAAATAAAAATAAACTTGTGCGGCCTTTCTTGATGATCGCTGAACCTGGGCTCTAATCAGATTTACGTAAATTATACATCCCGGCGTGGTGTGCGTGCATGTGTGTTTGCGTGCGAGCGCGCGTGTGTGTATGTATGTGTGTGCCGCGTGTGTGTGTGTGTTTGTGTTGGAGAGGGGAGGAGCGGGTGGAGGGCATAGGGACTGTCGCGTTGTGACGTAGTCACGAAGAAACGACCAACACGAAGTTCTCTGCAGAGTCAAAAAGCCCTCGTTTATTATTTTTCAATCCTTTTATATCTGTCTGCCATGCAGCATGACGCAGCGATACGCTAGCGCGTAGACAGCGATATAATATATCGCTTCATCTCGTTTTCTTTTTTTTTCGCAAAAGCTAAACAAAAATTTCCATCAGATCTCAGATTGTACAAAGAAAAAAACCGAGAAAACCAAGAAATGCTGTGACATACACTACATATTTATACAATCACTCCAGCACCTTTTTTAAAACTAAAACATATAACCTAAATACAGAACTAGAAATATGGAAACTTCACTACAACAATTTCAGGCATCCGTCATATTTGTAAGCTAATCATCAATACCAAATCGTTTAGGTTTCCTGATCGTTCGCCTATACCGTGTTATGATGACGGGAGGGTCATCGGACTCGCTACAGAAGCGGGGACCGAAGCTCTTGGCTGAACCGTGTTCGATACCATTTTGTCCTACCGTCTATTCATTCTGGTTGGGGAATCGTAGCTTCCTCCGGTCTCTTGTTTTCGCGGCGAAAAACCGTAAACTGTTCCTGTTCCACACTAGGGTCACCCCGGATGACAATTGTACCTCGTACGACGTCGGACTTCTGGCTGGAGCCACAACCTCCGCATTCGCCTTCACGTCCGTCGCCCATACCCGATAGCCAACGTGAAGAGTCCGCAACGCTCTCGCTCTGTGGCGCTTGTTAAACCCTCGATACTGCTTATCTCTTGCACTTCGGTCTCTTCGGATCAACTACGCTTGATTCAAGTTCGTTGGATGCAGTTGTTCGGGTATCATTGGCAGTCTCATTCAAAGCCGTCGACCTATTAGTATCTCAGAGTGAGTCTTCCCAGTTATATCCGGAGT